AACCGAAAGAGGTGATGCCGGTTATCTTCAGATGGATTGCGCCCGTGAATCTTTCGCATTTGCAACATATAAACCAAAATCAGAAAGGAAAGTTAAAAAGTTTGTTCATTCGTTATATAATAATGTTCAAAAATATGATAACTCAGTATGTGGTAAATATATTGACCCTTCAGAAGTTTTCAAGAAAGCAAATGAAGAAGTTGATGTCACTTTTGATATGATTATTCCGGTAAATGATTTGTTAGCATTTCAGGCGTTCGATGATTATCCTAAATCATTTGGTGATATCATTCTTAAATATTATGTTTTCAGGGATACTTTAGTATTTTGTCAGGTTGACCCGTTAAGAGTTGCTGATTTACAAAATTACGTTTATGAAAAGATAACTGATGAAAATTATGAAAAGATTATGAATCATGTTTATAAATATGATCGCAAATTCCAACAAATCGGACTTCCTGCCAAATTAATTACAAGCTTAGCCGCTACATCTGCTGACGCAACAGTTGATGACGTTATTATTTCATGCACAAAGATGGAAGTTTTAGAGGATAAATGCATTACACCAGGATACGGTTTAATTGAAGAATCAGTTAAAGCAATACCACGTTTATTCAGTAAGGAAGATCCATTCATGATTCCAGCTCAACATATTGACGTTCGTTCACTAAATGGAGGTTGCATCACTCCTGAAGGTATTAGCTCAGATTTCTCATACGCTCTTCATAATGTTACAGATGTTGTGTTAGCATTTCCGAAGAATGCAATGCAAAGAACAGTTTTAGAAAATCCAATGCTTCGAGGTCTTCAGGTCACTATAGATTCCAGAAACTTCCCCGATCAAGCGATGACCACAGTGGTGACATATTCTTTACACGTATGCTTCAAGCTTCTGATTTAGATGGAGTGAATGAATGCACAGAAGAATACGAGGACTCATTAACTAGACCACTGAATGCAGATGATGGCACGCCATTAGCTAGAACATGGAAAGACCAAACTTCATTCTTATGCACTATTCCAGTTCAACGTGATGGAGCGGGTATATTCTTTGATGGATTAGAAACTTTCAACTCACAAGTTACAGTACAAGTGAAAGCTTATCCAATCATTCAGGGTGAAAATGACACTTACTGTTCAAAGGTGACAAATCCTCCTCAGGTTTGGTTTACTAGGACTACATATTGGACATGGACACCGGATGAAGGTTTGAAATATCATCCAACAGGTACACCACCACAGTATAGAAGTTCATATGATGAAATATTGATGAATAGAAATGTTTAAAATTATAAATTTATTTTTGATTAAATGGATTTAAATTCATCACTCCTTATGAAGAATTAGCAGGAGTATATAATACATACATAGATGATATGATTAATGAAGCATTGAGTGATAATAGAAATGCTCTATCTAAGGAAAAATTAATGAAAATTCCATATTCTGAATGTTACTTAAATTCAATCACTGCAGCAATTGGTAAACAAAATAAAGGTAAAACATTAACGATATTAAAACAAATTATCATTATTGCTAACACTTCCCCCTATTCACATGTGTTAATTTATATCAACCGTTCAGGTTCACCTTCAGATGATACATTTGAATCTTTAAAGCATTTAATCAAAATTCCAATTATTTATTTATCACAAGAAGAAGCAGAAGATTATTTAAAAAACTTTTTAATGTATAAAGAATTATATAATACAATAAGAGAGCAAGGATTAGAGGATAAAATTATGATAAACAACGGGATGAATTATTTGAAACACTTTCTTTTCAAATTTTGATGAAGAGAATTTTTGCATTCACTCATTTTTCTAGATGATGCAGTGAAATCAAAACTAATAACAAATGAGAAATCATATTTTAATCAGTTATTAACTCAATGTCGACACATTCAGTGTTCATTCTTCATGGCTGTTCAATACTTCAAAGCATTAAGCACAAACATTAAATCAAATCTTCACCCTTTTCATTTTCAGTGGGTTTAGTCGTCAACAGTTGAACGTTATGCTTTATCAAGTGAATTTACCAATGAGCATTAATGAACTTTACACACAATATCAGCAATTAGGTGAACATGGAAAAATAATAGTTGATTTAAATAAAGGAGTGTTAAATTTGATTAACTTTTTATAATTAATTTTTATTTTTTATTTATAATTAAACATGACAGAAATAGCAAATCTTCTACAGGTTCCATTAAAACAAGGAACAAACAAAAAGGGTGCATATAATAGAACTATGAAAGTTCCAGACGGAATGAAAGAATTAGTCCACATTGTTGCTGGTCTTCAAAAGGATGTTAAACAAATGAGAAACGTTTTAACATTACCAGAAGCTCAAGCATATGCCAAACGTCATGGTCCAAATTGGGAAGCACACGAAGCAGACATTACGGGTCCAAATGGAAAGCCTGATGGTATAAATGAAGTTTTCACTACTGATGGTCAAGGTAATATTAAAGTCATAAATGGTTATAAATTAACAATGACGGATTATCCTAAACGTAAAGCATATAATGAACGTTATCCTATGCAATTTGATGAAAATGGAAAAGCTGTTAAACAATACATTGGAGAAGGTGAAAATGGTCCAATTAATTCATACCGTTATAATCCATATTCTTATTTCAATGAAGAATTAAATGCTATTGAAGAGGGACCGGATGGATTACCACGATATTCTAACCAGTTTGATGGTCAATATGCAAATATTAGACCTGAAATTTCAGCTAAGAAATTCTTTAAAGTTGCTTTATTCGATCCAGTTTTCGCAAATGTTAAAGATGAACTTAAACATCAATTCCAACCAATTATAGTAGCAAGAATTGCATCAGGTGCTTTATCTCAAGCATTCAAAGATTTAATTAAGAAACCATTATATCAGCAACGAGGTTTAACTTATGATTTAGTTAAGGAATCAGATAAAAGAAAATTTGAGAAATCAGATGATTATAAGAATGCAATTAATGAATATATTAGGTCTATTAATTACAATGAACCAGCTAAAAATCAACTTCAAGAACAAATACAGGGAATAATAGATTCAAAACTTCCAGCAAAATAAAAGTTTAAATATATTTTTTTATTCGATTATAAATGAGAAGACGTTTCACTAGTCAAAAGAACACTAACGCAAAAGCAGAGATTACGGTTGGTTATAACGTAAATGATGATAAATCACGAATTATTCAAAATGTTAAAGTTAATGTTAGCCCTGAATTAACAAGGTCAGCAACTCAACCAAATTTATTAACTCGTGACTTACCGAAAATGAGGAGAAGAAAAAAAGAATGGAGACCCAATCATTTTATCTGAACCCGGTAAAGAACCTGTTGAAATTCCCACTTATCCAACATACCCCCGCCTCTTTCATCAAACATCGAGAACCCATATAAAATAGACATTAATTCTGAATTAATGAAAATTTACCGTGATATAATAATTAATAATTATGATTCAATAATAAATTTAATTGATCAATCCGGTTTAATTATTTTACCTTATGAATCATTAATTCACATTATCGCCATTCTTTGTGATGTTCAAGATTCAGACGTTAAGATTCAATTTTTCATAGATGATGAGGTTTCATGCTGCGGAACAGTTGCAAAAATAAATCCTATAAAGGATATTAGCACAATTAAGATATCAAAGAACGGAACAACAACTGAACTTCATTTAACATATAATGATATTTATAATAAAATAGTTGATGAATATAAAATATCACTTGAAAAATTCTTTGTTAAGGCTATTTAATATTCAAGCATTAACATTATCGAATAATAATCCTTTGAATCATAATCAATAATAATTGACCTTTCACCAGTTTCTATCGTTTGTTTTATTTCTTTTTGTTCCCCACTATCCGGATCGGTCATTGTAATTGTTTTTGTTATAGTATCAGCTTTATCTTTAACTTCAATCTTTTTTCCATCGGGATATTTAAACCAAAATTCCAAAAATTCGATATTGTCAATCTGTTCATATTTTAATCTATCAATTACATTTTTAATACCATCTGAAAATCTTATGAAATGGTCATTATATGGGTTTGATTGAACTAAATTTGAATGAAGTGAAATATAACCTGTTGATGAATATGACACTGACTCATATTTTCTGAAAACACTAAAATTTATAACATGAATGAATTTCTTATTCGTTGAATTTATGAATTCTTGAGGTAATCTTATTCTAGTTTTATTTATCACTGGAAAATAACGCTTTACCATATTTTTAATCGTAATAAAAAATGTCAATTATCAATATTATTTCGAATAATAACTGTGAATTAAATTTAACAGTTAGCGGAATTTATAATGTTACTCTCGTTTCTGTGAGTGGTAAATTTAATCCCATTCTTTTAGACCCTTCAGATTATATATCATTTATTAAAGATGACCTTGAAAAAACGTATGATATGTATATAAATAATGTGATAGCGAAATGGGATATTAACATGATTTTAAGTTATTTAAATGAATCATTTATCGTATGGTATGAAGAAAATTTTAAATCAAAACCTGATAAACTTTTTGAACTTGATGAAATAAATAACCTTATTAAATTTCCGCTGAAAATTAAATTTTGTACTCCTCATCTTCGTTCATTGTTGGGGATATTAAATTTTGAAAAAGATGTTGGGGATGTTTTGTATTCTGACACTGGTTCCAATTTCATTTTAATCAAATGTGATAAAGTTAATACCCCAATGAGATTTTCACATCAAACATTAGACCCTAACTCTTACCCATCAATACAAAACATTTTATCCATCAACTTAAACACATTTTCTTTATCATATCCGTTTCAATTATCCGGGAATTCTTTATTCTTCATTCAAAAGATTTATCAAATATTAAATTTAGAATAACTGACCTATTTGATTGTGATTTAGAATTTATGAATGAAATATTATGGCAATTTCAAATAGAGAAAATAGCTGATGAGATAACGGATTAAATATTTATTTTTAAATCGTAATAAATGATTAAACAACAGCAACTTAAGGCGCAAAGCGCCCAGGTCCTTCAGACCATTACATACGCCATATATGCATATAATTCAAAGACGGCAGAACAAACGCAAAGGTTGAAATATGGAGATTTGGAGATAGTATTGAAAAATGACCATTTCGAATTCGTTTGCAAAGGTGGTGCAGTGATATCAAATATAAAAGAAATTTTATTTATGAATTCAAAAATTAAAGGAATAACGGATGATATAACATCAATTCCACCAGAAGAACAGAGATATTACGCATTAAATGCATTTCCTAAAGTTTTGAAGATTGGAAGATTTAATTTAAATGAGGAATTCATAGAAGGTTTCCTAAATGACATAATGAAGAAGGTGGATAAGGAATATGTGGATAGTGAGTTAGAGAAGAAAGCAGATAAGGAATACGTTAATACTGAATTAAATAAGAAGGCGAATTTGGTTTATGTTGATGAAAAAGATAATGAAATTAAAGAAAAGGTTGAATGGTATCATGAATGGACATTGGAGACTTTTAAAGTTAAAGCTGATACAGAATGGGTTTCAGGATGTTTAGACCTTAAAGCAGATAAAACATATGTTAACGATGAGTTAGAGAAGAAAGCAGATAAAACATATGTTAACAATGAGTTAGAGAAGAAAGCAGATAAGGAAAAAGTTATTTCATTCATTAATACTGAGTTAGCAAAGAAAGCTGATATATCATTTGTTAATGAAGAAATAAAACAATCAGAGGTCTATTTTACTCCACCATTTTTAAATTTTATGAAATCATCAGATAAAACCTTTGATATAGATTCTTTTGAATGGATATGTTTCGATGGAGTGACCATGTATTTATTTTATACAGCTGGAGTGCTTTATTATTTTAAAACAAATTGATTTTAAAAACTATGAGTCATTTACTCCATCTGTTTGGAATCCTGATACACGAAAGCCAATCATTAATCCAAGAATTTTATATGTTGAATATAATAACGGTAAATTTATGGGAATGATAACGGTTGGAGATGATTTTTGCCCTTGTTATTCATTCGATTGTATCCAATGGTTCAAATGTAATTTAAATCAAGATGCTAAATTTAAATATCCAAATAATCCTATTAGATGTGTTAATAATAAATGGGTACTAATTTATGAAGTCAATCAAATTTTCATTAGTGAGGATGGGATAAATTATTATATGTTTAGTATGATGTCATCAGATTTGGAAATTGATTATACAAGTAAGTGGTATTACACTAACGGTATGTATTTTATCCTACAGAATGATAAAATTTATAGATCATATTCAATACCACAAGGTCAATTTGAACAAATTTTTCAAGCTGATGGAGACATTGAAGCTTTATGTTATGGATCAAATGTTTATGTTCTTGTTTCAGGTGGTATGGTCTATTCATATCCTGTAAGTTATAACAGACATATTTATTTATCACAGGATTTATCAAATTGGGAATTGGTTTATTCATTCACTCCAAAACTTACTCGAAATTATAGATTTACTAATTTATTTTATATTGATGGGTATTTCATTGCTTTTGGATGTGGTGATTTAGTAAATATCAGTAGTGATGGAAGAAATTGGTCTGAAATCACAAAATTTCAAGATGTACGAAAAGCTATTTTCAAAAATAATACGTTAATATTGATAACAAGACCAGTTTTAAATACTCACCCAGTTTCAATATTATATAATAAATTCAATATTCATAATGGATTAAATACAATTCTTGAGATGATTTACCCCATTGGTTCAATATATACATCAATGAACTCAACAAATCCAGCAAGTGTTTTAGGTTTCGGTACATGGCAGCAGATTGTAGATAAATTCTTATACTGTGCTAACTCTTCAAAGCAAACAGGTGGTTCAAAGAAAATTACTGAAGCAAACTTACCTGCGCACACTCATACAGGAACTACAAACTTTTCTGGCGACCATAGCAACTCATTAAGAGACCACTCATTATACAACTCAGACTATAAAGCTGGCTATGACGTTTTATCTCCATCTTATAACAATTCAGCAAAAAAGACTTTTCGACCAACTGAACCAGGAGGAAATCATGTCCATACTTTCACAACAAATCCAACAGGCTCGGGTGAAGATTACATGCCACCATTTATGACAGTTTATGCATGGTTTCGCGTTCAATGAACGCTCAATGTTTGTTTCACAAACTTTAGAACGGCATAATTTAAATTTTTATTTTAGTATAAATGAAGATTCTACCATATGGTGTTATTGGAAGAGATAAAGATGGAAACCCAATATTTGATCCAAAGTTAAAATTAAAGTTACTGACAAGACAACAACTTGAAAAGTTGCTGAAACCAAAACAGAATGAAAAAGAGAAAAATGAGAAAATGAGAAAGAAAAAAATTTAAATTATGCAATTTTATTTTTATCATAAATGACAAAATTAATTAAGCCAACTATTTCTAAATTAATGATACCAATGAAATCATTTCATGGAGTAATTATCCCAGGTTCTTCACAATTAGCCAGGGCAAGTGTTGTGGCTCAAGGTGGAACATTAGCGAATCCATTCAAATTATTAACTAAAGATGAACTTAATAAAATTTACACCAAAAATATATTTTATCGTTAATGGTTTTTAGGTTATTCAATAATTAATTATTTTTGAATAACTGAACGTGTCACTACGTCACCATGTCACCAGGTTAATTAACTTCTCTTAAAATTACTGACAACATGACATTTTGACAACATCAACAAAGGAAATTAAATCGTAAATGTTTTCGTTTATGATTTCGTAAATGTTTTCAGTGTCACCACGTCACCATGTCACCAGGTTATTTAACTTCTTTTAAAAATGATGACAACATGACATTTAGACAACTAGCCCGGAAATTTGATGCAGTCCAAAAATAAAGTTAGTTTTAAAATTATTTTTATTTTTTTATTCCTATATAAATGACAGCAACAAACAACAACAGCAACTATATCGTTTCTGATGAAAAAGTTATTGATTCATTAGCTGAGGAATTAGTTGTGCAGAAACTAAAACCCTCAACGAAAGAATTGGTGAAAACAAGATTGATTTACATAACTACCTCAAACACGATGGAGGAAGAGGAAGGAAAACTGGTATGGCTTTATTAGTAAATAAAATTTCAAATTTAACGATTATAGATGTTGATATCAATAAATCATACAATGATGAACTTAAAGAAACAGTTAGAAAAGATATTTTATCAAAACTTTCGGATAAAGATGTTATCGTTAAAACCGCTTCAGGAGGTCTTCACATTTATTGCAACACTAATTTCTTCTATCAGTTTCGAACAGAATGATTAAATGCTATTCTGCAATGATTATGATATTGACATAATGACTTCTATGGATGATTCAAAGCGTTCTTTAGGTTATGGGCTGATTCAAGAGTTCGCAAGAATGCAACAGAACCAATCAAAACATACTCATTCATTCGTGGAAGTTATGACTCGACCATAACCAGAACAGTGAATGATATATTTGAATGATTTGAATATTAAGGTAAGAGTTGAACAAAAGAATGAAGAAATAAAGACTATCATGAATGAAAACAAAGATGTAAACATTGACGATAAACTTGCAGAGCATAGTTGATGGCATCAGTGATTTTGAAGTACATAATGACGGTGGAAACATGAATTTAGAAAAGAAGTTACATTATTCACACTGTTTCAAGCAATTAATTCGTTACCTAATCATTTAATTAATGAAGCATACGATAACGTTTATAACTTCTGCAATTTAACTGAAAATGCAAAAAGTAATTTTGAAAAAGCACGTAGTAGATATGCACATTTAATGACTTCTCCATTTGTTTTTGAAGATTCTAAAACTATATCAAAAGGAATATTATGATGAATACGTTTTACCTTTATTACGTAAGCCAAAAATAACATTTGATATAAAACTTGATGACTCGTTTTGATAACAGATATTAGACGCAAGGCTGAAAATCATCAGTATAAAAACAGTTCTGAAGTAATTGAGGATTTATCACGTGTAATCCGTTTTGTAGATTGTGGAAATAAATACTTCATTCAGAAAGATTACAACATACACGATAAAATGAATCAAATATCATTCGTTCTTCAATCAAACATGAAAGAGTCACTTAAAATGATTAAATTATTTAAAGAAGAAGGTAAAACAATAACAGCATGGGATGTACTACTAAATCAATTATCCTCATTAACCGTTAAGGGTGTTTGCTTTAAATCTGATTCTCCAGATGTTTTCTCAACGTTTCAGGGTTATAAATACAACGTTCTCGAAAAACCAGATTACTCAAAAATTGAGATGTTTATGAATTTCATTAAAGAAGCCATATGTGATAATAACGATGAAGTGTATAAATACCTTCTCGGCTGGATTGCATCAATGATTCAACATCCTGGAATCAAGAATGAAACAGCAATTATTTTGAAAGGACTTCAGGGAACAGGTAAAAACAGATTTACAGACATTATTTCTGAACTTCTCGCCGGTTATTCATGTAAAAACATTACCGAAATAGGTGAGCTAACGGGTAATTTCAACTCAGTAGTTGAGAATAAAATGTTTCTTGTACTTAATGAACTCAAGAATGTAGGTGAAGATAGACTCGCAAACTTCAACGCTTTGAAATCAATTATAACGGATAATGAGATTAGAATTAATGAAAAGAATCAACCCAGAAGAACAGCACAGAACGTTGCAAACTTCATTTTCGTAACTAATAACGTTTACCCTGTCAAAATTGAAGTTGGAGACAGAAGATACGTAGTTTTAAGAGTTAATGGTAAATTCAAGGGCAATTTGATTACTTCAAGAATTTGATGAATTCATGCACAAAGGAATTTTATGATAATTTACTAACATATTTTATGCAATATGACCTTTCATCATTTAATGTACGAATCATACCGATGACTGAAGCCAAACAAGATTTAATAGAATTATCAACAAATCCTTTAGATGAATGGATAAATACACATTATGATGAATTGTGTGCAGGTATGACGTGTAAAAATGCTCTATTCTGCAAACCATCAGGCATGAAAGACAAAAACTTTCAAATGAGCATTAAGGATAAATGTGAAAGGAAACAGAGAAGAATAGATGGTAAACAACATGGTGTTATGTTTTGAAAGAAGAAATGAAAGGATTATATAAACAGGTTGAACCAAACGATAATGAGGATTCATTTACTGACGATGAAATACCTGTAAATGAAGCTTTATAAAGTATGATTTGAATTTATTTTTGCATTCAACCCAGCTGTTGTCAAAATGTCATGTTGTCATCATTTTTAAAAGAAGTTAATTAACCAGGTGACACATGGTGACGTAGTGACACCTTCAGTTCTTCAAAAATAATTCATAAATGCCTTCCTCCTTTCGTACCTGTTGTCAAATGTCATGTTGTCATCATTTTAAAAGAAGTTAAAACCTAGGTGACATGGTGACGTAGTGACACCATCAGTTATTCAAAAATAATTAATTATTGAAGAACCTAAAAACCATTAACGATAAAATAACTGATAACAAAATTTTATTTTTATATAAATGGATACCCCACAAGCTCAAAATTTACCACGAATCATAACAAGGAGGAAATGATAAAAATGATGCAAGAACAATTAAAAACAACAAACCACGAAAACCGAGAAGATGCGGTTATGCAGTAATGATGGAAAGAAGAACCCAGAAGGGTTCGGCGTCTCGAAGAGACGTTGTCGAAGAGGAATAAAAATTAAATTTGGATAGAGTTTAAAAATTCATCTTTATTAAATTCATCTCTTCCAATCAATTTATTTATTCTATTAAATTCTTTTATTTTTGCTTCACTCAGTTTAAGGATTGAACGGTAAGTTTCTAATTTTTCGATTATTTTTTCTTCTCTCTTTATCGTTTTCAATTACTTTAGTTTTATGGGCATCAGCCCCACCGCATTGCGGCTTCTTTTTGTAATAGCATATTTTTGATTTAATTCTGTTTATTTCTTTTTATATTCATTGTCTGGACTCTGAATCTTAATTGAATCAGGACTCTTGGCTGCTTTGTTGTCACTCATTTCTTACGAAAAAAAAAATTAAATATTATTTAAATATAATGGAGTAATAAAATAAATCGGAATTTCTATTAATTTATTGTTAACTCAACTAATGCATTGCCGTTAATATATCTAACAAATTCAGCTATTGTGTCAAATCTTCGTCTTTTTTGTCATTGATTTATCAGTTTTTCCATAATCGAGATGAATCAAATTATCCCCTTGTTTAAAATTCATGAGCCCCGAATTAATTTGTTCACGTTTAACATCATTTAACCTTTCCATTTGCTTTCTAATATATTCCCATTCTTTTGAAATATCATTTTTCATTTCCACTGGTTTCATGTTTATAGTTCTATGCCATGTATTATTGTAATAATATACTAACTGCTGTATGATGGAGTCATGATTTCCATCCCAGTATATCTGACCGTTAACCCCTAACGCATCTCTAAGAGTTCTCATTACCGCATCAACTATTTTATTATGAAACGTATATGGAGAGATGAAAAGTAAAAATTAATTTGTGGGAAATAATGAGCCATAGCTGCCTGAAATCCTTTATCACCATCACCCCTTATATTATCTACTCTTTCATGATCTAGTAAGTATTGAATAGCTCTTCTTGTTTCCTGTTCTGTTTTCCCTTTCACACGGAATGCAATATAAATATCTAGTGTTAATGTTAATGGCAAATAAATAAGTAACGTTTCCTTTTGAATATTCTAGATGATCGATTTCGTATGAATATGGATATGGTGCAAATGAAGGGCGACTAAATTTTTCCTTTAACGGTTGAATTTTCGGGTCAATTGGTTTATTTAATATCTTGAAATCCTTTTTAAAATCTTTTTGTTTCTTTAATGTTTGAAATGAATATAATAAAGTGAATGATGAAGGATTAACTGAAGGAGGAGGTACTGTCGTTGGAGGTTTTGGTATTGCAAGTGGTTTAATTTTATCTGCTTTGATTTTGGATGATGAAGTTTTGGATTTCATTCCTCCCTTCATTAATTCTGGATGTATTCTATTCATTTGTTTTAAATATGCTGTATATAAAGGTTTGATATACTTTCCCGCTTCGAGTTTATGTTGAAGGATGAATTCCA